TTAAAGCAAAATGCTTTGTAAAAAGCAAAAATTGTTAAAGGTCACGTTTTATTTGTTTCGTAAGCAAAGATTAAGACTAACGTTGGGTAACTAGTGAAGATTAGTAAAGTTGTTTGCTTTAGTGTGCTCGTAACCAAGGATGTAAGGCTACTAAACAAGCTGTTTTGTAAATAAATCAAAGTGAGGTTGCAATCGGCCCAAATAAAAAAGAAACAATTGTAAACGACTGAAATAAATAAATCAGCCACCAGTAAATAAAACGGTACAATATAGAGAAAAGCCTTGAGTTTTGTAAAAGTGTCATCTTTATTTATTTGTTTCACAATTCCCTGTACCATTGAGTGCGCTTACAGATCCACCGAAACTTTATAGATGCAAGGAGAAGGCAGTAATCAATAACCGAAGTAAATCTGTAATAGTAAATTAATTAATTGACAAGCGTCGAATTATTATGAGTTACCTGACAAGAATAGCCCAGGAGTTAAACCATAATCGGTCATAGATGTTAAATAATCGGCGTTAACGAAAGGATTACCTTGGAATATCTTCATAGGTTGGTTCACGATATTTTAACCGCGATTTTTAATCGTTAGTTGGTTAGTCATTTTCTATATCTATTATTTCAGCCACTCCAAGAATTTTAATATGTCTTCTTTATTTGTTGTTTCCAATTTACTTCGCAATTATTTATATAATTTGCTTCTAATTGTTTTACTAACCCTTTTTAATTGTGGAACTTCATTTTTTATTATGTCATTCATAATATATTATCTTAATTAAAGTTGGTGACTACGACTGGTTGCAACTAGTTGCGAACTCTTATATTACAGCCTTATGCTCTAAATTCTACAAACTCTTAGTTGCAGACACCAGATTTAGTTTAATATACATGTACAGTCGAATCTCATTTCAATGAATTCATCAAAATTCGTTGTAATGATAAAAAAAAACAAACTTTTTTTAGACTGCAAAATATCGGGGGGGGGGGTGAAAAAATGATAAGCTATGAGAATTTTGATACTGTTTCGACACCTGACAAATACTGATCATGAATAAAAGTTTGTGCATTGTATTAGTTGTATAAAAACAATTTCTTTTTTTTTTTTTCAAAAAAAAAAGGCATGCGCAAAAAATCACAATTATGCAAGATAGATAAACAAAACTAGATTCATTTGAAAGCTTATCAAATATTTTATTAAATAAAAAAAATCAATAAGAAATTATACCACTTTTTTTTTTTCTAAAACTAACCCACATTTCTGTTTCATAGACATAATAATATTTTTGACTGTTTCCTGAGGAATTCT